AATTTTGCTTGCTGAGAAGAGCGGGGTGCGGGACTGAGGAACATGCAGGTAAGCGTGAAGGATAAGCTGTAAGGCGGCTTAGAAAAAGATGGAGTCTGAGCAGACTAGGGAAGCAGCGGAGGGACGTAAGGGCGGGGCGCCTGAACGTAGGAGTTTTGCACCCTCAGGCTAGACGCCTCTCCTAAATTATAAACAACAGGTCTACTATAAGCAATTTATTACAAGAATCTTATCCCTGAGATACCCCCTAATCATATTAAATGCATATTAATAAAAAATATACTTCTCTGCTGAGAGATATTGCCGCATGCGCTAAAACACTATCTGTCGCCAGATAATGTACTGGACTGCCGTATATTGCAGCCGGCCCCTTGCCATGCAAGGTGTTCTTACCCATTCCGTAAAAAGTTTTACGATTAAAAATATTATCACATAAATCTATGGCTAGAAATACCTCCTCTCCATTTTAAACGCCATAATTGTCGCAGGGATATTTATTCTTATCGGCGAGCATATGCGCGCATCCCGAGCCCACATTTCAGCGGCCTCCCCCGTGCAGTACGCCGACTGGACGAAAACTGGCCATAATTTAGCTTGGCCTGAGAAAGAGCGGGTGCGTGGGCCGGACTGACGGAAAAGGAGGCAGGAGGAGCTGCAGGGCGGCTATGAAAAAGAGAAGGAGGCCCAGAGCGGGGACCAGGGAAGCAAGGGGGATGGGACGAGAGGCGGATTGCAACTATAAGTTTTGCACCATTACGAGGCCTTAGGACGCTCTCCTAATAATAAACACAGATCTACTTATAAGAATTTATTACAGAAATCTATGCTGAGATACCCACTAACCATATTAAATGCATATTCATAAAAAAATATAACTCCTCTGGTGAGATATTGCGCATGCGCGTAAAACATTAACGTAGCCAGATTATGTACTGACTGGTATGCAGCGGGCACCTTACATGCAAGGTCTTCTTTCCATTCCGTAAGAAACTTCTACCGATGAAATATTATCATATAAATCTATGATAGAATACCTCTTCTCTATTTTAAACGCATAATTTTCGCAGAATATTATTCTTATCGGGAGATTTTGCGCATGCGCGAGCACCATTTCAGGCTTGCAGTATACGGACTGACGAAAACTGCATAATTTAGCTTGCTGAGAAAGAGCGGGGTGGGGGATTGAGGAAAGGAGGCAGGGAAGATAGCTGAAAGCGGTAGAAAAAGAAGGAGGCTGAGCGAGGGACGAGAAGGGGTGAAGTAGGAGTTTTGCACCTTACAGGCTAGGGCGCTCTCCTAATTATAAACACAGGTCTACTGATAAGAATTTATTACAGAAATCTATGCTGAGATACCCCCTAACCATATTAAATGCATATTCATAAAAAAATACAACTCCTCTGGTGAGATATTGCGCATGCGCTAAAACACTAACGTAGCCAGGTTGTGTACTGTCTGGTATATATGCAGCGGGTACCTCACATGCAAGGTTTTCTTCCTATTTCTTAAGAGAGGTCTACGGATGAAATGTTATCATATAAATCTAGGCTAGAATACCTCCTCTTTATGTTAAATGCATAATGTCTACAAAAATATTCTTCTCGGATGATATTGCGCATGCGTGAGCACCGTTTCAGACATGCAGTAGGGCCTACGGACTGACTACTATAGTATAATATTGCTTTGTGAGGGAGAGTGGGTGTGGAAGACTGCGAAAAAGCAGCAGAGGAGATAGCTGAGGGGCGGTGGAAGAAAAAGAGAGGCTGAGAGAGCGACAAGTGAGTCAAGAGGAAGGACGAAGAGGGTATGAAGTAAGAGTTGTGCACCCTACAGGCTAGGGCGCTGAGACTCCTATTCATAAACACAGATCTGCTGATAACAATTTCTCACATAAATCAATGCTCAGATTCCCCGTAACCATTTTAAATGCATACTCGTCACAAAAAATGTAAGTGATGAGCTATTGCGCGTGAGCGGCATGCCTACAGAATGTGCGCATCGAAAATTGCACACTCGCTACTTCAATGTGGAGGCACTGCTCTGCGAGTGGTCCCTTGCTATAATAATGTACAGGGATAAGGCGCGGACACGTCGGCAACCTGTCGCCCAAAGCAAATGACGTAGGGCCGACGTTAAGCATTTAATCTGGAGTGTGGCATGCCTACAGAAGGTGTACATCGAAAATTGCACACTCGCTACTTCAATGTGGAGGCACTGCTCTGCGAAAGGTCCCTTGCTATACTAATGTACAGGGATATGGCGCGGACACGTCGGCGACCTGTCGCATAAAGAAAATGACGTAGGGCCGACGTTAAGCATTTAATCTTGAATGTGGCATGTCTACAGATGGTGCGCATCAAAAATTACACACTCGCCACTTCAATGTG